CATACACAAAAATAAACTCAAAGTGGATAAAGGACTTAAATGTAAGATGGGAAACCATAAAAATCTTAGAAGCCATAGGCAGCAAGATAGCAGACATTTGTCATAGCAATATCTTTACCAATACAGCTCCTACGGCAATGGAAACTAAGGAGAAAATAAACAAATTGGACTACATCAAAATAAAAAGCTTCTGCACAGCAAAAGAAACCATCAACAAAACAACAAGAAAGCCCACTGCATGGGAGAACATATTTGCCAATGTTATTTCCGATAAGGGTTTAATCTCCAAAATTCACAGTGAACTCATATAACTTAACAAAAGGAAGGTAAATAATCCAATCAAAAAATGGGCAAAGGACCTAAATAGACACTTTTCAAAAGAGGACACACAGAAGGCCAAGAGACACATGAAAACATGCTCAAAGTCACTAATCATCCGAGAGATGCAAATCAAAACAACAATGAGGTACCACCTCACGCCTGCCAGAATGGCTATCATCAACAAGTCAACAAATGACAAGTGCTGGCGAGGATGTGGAGAAAAAGGAACACTCCTTCACTGCTGGTGGGAATGCAGACTGGTGCAGCCACTGTGGAGAACAGTATGGCATTTCCTCAAAAAATTTTTTTAAAAAAGGGTGCTTCTTGAGCAATCTCATTATTGGAGCCACAGAAAGCTGGGCATTGAGAAAGGAGATACCTGCAGGCAATGTCTAAGGTTGTGTCTAAGCAAACTTGGGTGGCAGAATGAATTTTCATTTGACAAACACGGTTAGAAATATGAATTCACGGAATCCCATAACTCTCAAAAGTGGATACTATTATTATCCCTGCTTTATGGATAAACAGACCTGAGTCTGTGGAGGAGCCAGGATCCACTTTAGGCAGTCTAAAGCCGGGGTTCCTGCTCCCAACAATCGCATCATTGTGCAGGAGCTTTGTCTGCAAATAAAGCATGGAACCCTAGCACCAGACTGGAGAGCAACGACTTCCATTTTTCATTGGAAACCCTCCTGGGAGGGATAAGACTAAATGTAAAGGACAAAATAAAGGACAAGGGCATTGCTGCTTTTACTTTCTAGATTCAATCAAGACACCCCAACAGGTGGCCTGCCTGAGCATCTGACTAAAAGAAGGCATTTATTTTATTTTTATTTGCTTTTCTATCATTCAGATGACATGCATTTGGAAGCTTAAAAATGCTAAAAGGAAAATCAGTTTAAGGAGAGCTGATATATATAAGCCAGTTCTTAACTTATTTACCAAGCAGATATTTGTTAGTGTATGTACGATTCTGACATGGACGTCTCTCTGTCTCTCTCTCTCTGAAAAAATCAATAAAAACATATCCTCGGGTGAGGATTAAAAAACATAATAAAACTCCTTTTGTCAACAATTAAAAATTCATTACTTTGTATCAAAATAAATCTTTAAATCTCAAGTTAGTTTCCTTTAACACTTTATGTTTAGTCTGAAATCGATTCTCTTATAGATGGGACACATCAATAGGATATCAGTGTTGGACAACCACCGATGTTTTAGAATCTAACAAGCATCTGCTGAGGCCTTACTATATGAAAGGTATAGTGCAGTGGTCGGCAAACTCATTAGTCAACAGAGCCAAATATCAACAGTACTTCTTCAAAATAGACTCGTCCAGGCCGAAAACCGACTTCTGCGCATGGGCCACGAAGTTTCAATCGCACTGTACCTGCACCCGCACGTGGTATTTTGTGGAAGAGCCACACTCAAGGGGCCAAAAAGCCACATGTGGCTCTCGAGCCGCAGTTTGCCGACCACGGGTATAGTGTGAAGAGCTGTAAGAGGTTAAGAAATAATTTTTGAAATCAGGCCTTTGCCTCGGCGGGTTTTATTTCCTAGTCAAGGCAATAACACAGACGTGTAAATAAGATGAAAAATAAGATGTGGGCAGGAGCGGCTTTGAGAAGATACTTCTGGCTGGAAATCAGGGATGAATTCACGAAGGAAGTGAGATTTCAGTTCCAGCGCCACCAAGAGAGACACTGTACTCTTATTTTGGGATCCTACTTCTTAGCACAGGGTCTGGAGCTTGATAGGAGCTTGTTATAACAATTCTATGCTTTTCAAATACACGAATACTTTAGAGCTAGATGATAAGATATGAGAAGGAGAAGTAGAGGTGAGGACGCATACTCTCCATCAAAGTTCATGAAGCAAATATTAATTGTCCACTGACTCCGGGCGGGGCCTCGTGCTGGGTGGGGAGAACAGAGAGTGCCAAAGCAGGGGGAGGGGAAGGCTCAGGGGGCAAAGTCCATCCGGGTGTATGGCTCCCTGGGTGTGGGCAGGGAGTGGGAGATAAGGCTGGAGTAAATTGAGCCCAGCATTGGGAAAATCTTGTACTGAGGAATTTGAAGAGAAAGATCTCCAAATGTGATATCATTGTCTATGTTTTTACTTTCCTTTTTAATATATTTTTTTTATTGATTTCAGAGAGGAAGGGAGAGGGAGAGAGAGACAGAAACATCAATGATGAGAAAGAATCATTGATCGGCTGCCTCCTGCACACCCCACACTGGGCATCAAGCCTGCAACCCGGGCATGTGCTCTGACCCGGAATTGAACTGTGACCTCCTGGTTCATAAGTCGACGCTCAACCACTGAGCCATGCCAGCTGGGCTGTATTTTTACTTTCTTAAGCAAATATTGGTGACTGCTGATCATGTTCATTTTGCTAATATAAAAACCCCGCACCTAGTTAGACTTAAGAATAGCAGCTTATTTTTTTACATCTATTTTATAATCCAATATGCTAGAACCTGGGATCATTATTTGTTTCTATGTGTTTTCAAACCGCAAAAGCAGTCTAAAGCAGTAGAAATATAGCTCTTTTGTGTTTAACAAAATGAGCCAATTCTACAATGATGTTTGGACACATCAACCACATTAATTCTGAGGCAAAAGCTAATTTTGCAACATTCAAAGACTTTGTTCGGTAGGGTTTTAGCCCAGGCTCTTCCTTAAAATAGCTGTAGACTCTTGGGGCAAGCTACTTAATTTATATAGCATGTATACATTTTATATCTCCACCTCTCTGTGACTATATCTACTTCCCTGCAGCTATCACGCGATAGATTACAGTAGAAAGAATCAAAGAGGTTTTGGACTTTGAAATCTGAGAGATCTGGTTGTAAGCCTGGCAGGGTCACTTCCTAGTTATGTGTCATTAGGTGAATAAGCCTGGCAGGGTCACTTCCTAGTTATGTGTCATTAGGTGAATTGCTTACCTTTGAACCTCAATATATATATGAAGAATAACAATTCCTACCTAATTTTGCCTATGAGAAACTCCTAGAGCACACATTTATTATTGAGTAATTGCTATGCATTTTCCATTTGAGGAAACTGAGGCACAGGGATATTAAGTTGAATATCCATGGCCACACAACTAACAACAGGGAGAGCTGGGTTCCAGTTCAGGCTGGCTGATTGAGTCCATCTTCTGCACCACTGTTATTCTGTTTGTAAACGACCCTCTAGTTTTCTCAAAAATTTAAAATGGAACAGCCTTTGACCTAGGAATTCCACTTCTGGGAATCCTGAAATATTGATCCTAAGAATCCTGAAACATGGATTAGAAAGAATATATGCACCGCTATGTTCATAGCAGCATTATTTACAACAAGAGGCCTGATGCACGAAATTCGTGCAAGGGCCCCCACAGCCCGGCTCCCTAGGCCCTCAGGACCCCGGCTGCCTCGCAGCCCCGTGGACCCGCCCACTGGTTGTTCCAGAAGGTCGTTCCGCCATCCAGTCTAATTAGCATATTAGCTCTTTATTATATAGGATAACCATGGTCTGGAAATAGCCCATCAGTAGATGAGTAGATAAAAAAGACTGTGGTACATTTACACAGTGAAATACTATGCAGCTATAAAAAAAAAAAAAGAAACTCTTACCCTTTGTGACAACATGGATGGAACTGGAGAGTATTATGGTAAGCGAAATAAGCCAGTCAGAGAAAGACAAGTACCATATGATCTCACTAATATGTGGGATCCAATGAACAAGATAAACTGATGAATAAAATGGGACCAGTAGCATGGACACATGGAACAGACTGGTGGGAGCCAGAGGGGAGGGACATGGGGGTGACTGGATGAAGAAGTTGAAGGGATTAGCTAAAGAACATATATGCATACACCATGGACACGGAAAACTGTAATGGTGAAAGCCAAAAGTGGGGGAAGCAGGGTTAGGTAGAGATGAGAAAGAGGGGGAAGTGGGGAAAGTCTGCAATAATGTCAACATTAAAAAAAATTTTTTTAAACCTCACCGGGGGAGTGAGGATATTTTTTTCATTTTTTTTTTTTTTTCAGAGAGTGGAAGGGAGGGAGAGGGGGAGAGAGAGATAGAAGAGAAACGTAGATATGATGCGACAGAGACACAAAGATTGGTTGCCTCCCACACATGGCCTGACTGGAGGCGCGGACTGGACCTGCAACCCAGGTACCTGCCCTTGACCTGAAATTGAACCTGTGACCCTCTGGTGTGCAGGCCCATACCCTAACTATCAAGCCACTCTGGCCAGGGCACATTAAAAAAAAAATTAAAAATGCTGCCTTGTGACCCAGCAAAAAAAAAATCTACCACATAGATGAGCTTAATACATGCTTTCTTAAACTCTCAGGGCATTTGGGAGGCTAAAGTGGGGCAGTACTTTTACCTTTTAAAAGTTCAATTATAAGCTATCTAAATGTAAGGCATTTAAAAATTTCAGGGCCTACATTTTTAAAGTGGTTTGGAATTTTAATAACCATTTTTCTATGCTGAGTATATTAGTGGAATGTTCAAGGTATAAAAACTTAAAAAAATACAGAAAAGATTAAGCGAACCAAGAAAATCTATAATACCTAAAGATAATCAAGTGATTGAAATATTGGTAAAATGAGTGCATTAAAAAAAATTGATTTCAATAGACTGGTAGCTAATCACTTTGATGTCTGGTTTATTCACAGGAGATTGAATAAAAGGAAACCATGATGGCCCGAGCCCAGCTGCACTGCTTGTGTCTCCTCACACTTTATTTGGTAAGAAAAAAGCATGCTCTTCCTTTATTTACTAAAATATTTCCTGCCCTCCTTCCATTGCATACCAGAGGAACAGTGGTTACCACTTTTTTAAAAAAGTCTATCAAAATTAAATCTCATACAAAGGACACAGTTGTTGTTTTTTTTATCTACAACAGTGTTTATTTTTTTTAATGTTTTTTTTATTGCTTAAAGTATTACAAAGAGTATCACATATGTTTCTCCCCCCCCCCCTTGACATTCCCCCGGCCTCCCCTACGCGCCAGTGTCTTGTGTCCATTGGTTATGCTTATATGCATGCATACAAGTCCTTCGGTTGATCTCTTACCCCCCCCCCCAGCCCCCCAACCCTCCCTGGCCTTCCTGCTGTAAAGGACACAGTTTTCCCCAAGGTGATATTTTTGATGAAATGGCTACAAGTCGTGTGTCTGTACTCTCTCTTCAGCTCTTAAAAGCCAGTAGCACTTGGGTAAGGTTTAAAACAAATCTACCTACTATAGTTTAGACCGCCATGTGTAGCTAAAAGCACACTGATACAGGTCCTAGTGTAAGTCCCTTAATCATGACTTTTTTTTTTTTTACTTTGACCATGAAAAATAACCACTAAAACACACAGAAAAACATTTTGTTTACTTTCAACCCTGCTCTGCTCAGTATTTTTCTTCCCATATCTATTTAGGAGTTTTCTAGTTAAATTTGTCTTTAGCCACATGTTGAGCTAAACCTATTGACTGACAGGCTAGAGGTTGGAGCTGGATGAAACCTGAAGAAATACAACCCTTGACCTGATTTCACTCATCACTCACAAATGTCTTACACCTGCCAATATTTTGTATCATGAAGCTAGATTACCGGGAAGCCTTTGCTCTCTCTTTAGATGGAAGGTTCTAGATGGTCACACCTCAAGCCTTGGTTCCTTTCTTCTGTGACTCAAAAATAACAGGTCAATTTTCAAGACCTAGAGAGTTTCCTGGAGCCCACACAGTTCAACATATTCACAGAGTGAAACAGGACGAACCTGTTGAAGCTGTCACAGCCTTCCTCCCAGTGTTGGAGGATGGAGGGGCAGATAACCTGCAGTTCATCCTCAAAGCCCAGGAGCTCAGAGCTTGTTGCCGGGACTGCTGAAAGACTGGGCAAAGACCCCCACGTGACTTCTGCCCTCTTCCCACCCTCTGAAATGTCCTTCGCTACCTAGATTATCAGAGGGCTGTGGTGAAGTCGGACCCAGGTTCAAACTCGGCACTGTGGCTTACCGGTGATAGGAACATGACTGAGTTACTTGTGTTGCACCTCAGTTTTCTGCCCTGTGAAATGGGTCTGATGAGAGTACTTGCCTTATAGAAAGCTGTGGCAATTCAATGTGATAATGCCTTTTTAAAGCACTCAGATCAGTGGCTGGCACAGTCGAAGTACTCAATAAATATTAGCTATGATCATGACTACAGCATTTTAAATACTCAGTGCCCGCACTCATATGGACGCTGACCTCCCTGAGGAAGAGACTGTTTTAGTCATCTTTGCAGCCACAGCACATAGCACAGAGCCAGGAACCCGGTAAAAATTCACAATTATGCGCTTATATTAGGAAACAACACTAGATCCAAGAGAGAGAAGAATCTATCACAATAGTTGGATGTTCGCAGGCTCTTCTGCTTTTTGTCTAAGAAGGGGACATACATTTTTCTTCCTGGATAAAAGTTGAAAATAATAGTTTCTTCTCTCGACTTTCACTCCAGTGGGATTTCTACCCGTAGTGAGAAAGACTGCCTGAGCAGGGCTGATGGCAGGAGCCTTGCTCAGGAGGCCGCCGCAGCTCAGCTGTCTCTGGTGGATGGAGGAAGTTGCTGCCTGTGCGGTGGGATCTCAGGGTCACTGGGTGGAGCCCCTGCTCTCTCCTGCCTCCACTCACCTTTACTCCCAGGCCCTTTGCAACGAGGAACGGAAGTTTAGGCGAAGCGTCTTGCCTTTAGCATAAGGCTTCTTCAACAGAGAGTAGTTTAAAATGGTTGCCAGCCATATATTCTGTGCTGCCAACGGCTCTCTTGTTATTTTCTGAGAACTGGTTTTCATAAGGGGGTAGAACCACTGCATGAACATGTTGCAAGGGCACTGAAGAGAAAGTACGTAAGGAATCCAGGGTTTGGGAAAGGGAGGAGGCAGGGAAATCAAGCAGAACCCACCTCTGTTAGAGTTTTGCTTGGGACCATGTTTCTCCCAGAAGGAAGAATAGTCTGGCATCGATACTGTATAATCCATGCAGAGAACTCTTGCTGGAAAGTGCAAGGAGGGTGGCTACCAGGCAGGCAGATCTGCCCATTGCACGCGTCCTGTGATGGCCTGGAAGGCTGTGTAGCAACACGGACCAGAGATGGGGCTTGTGGTCCGACAGGGCTGGCTCTAGCCCACTTAGCAGTATCAGTGTCTCCGCTGGGGGAATTCTCTGGAGATAGTTTCCTGACTGATGTGGTTGAGGACCAGAAGGAATGATGTGTGTGGAGGGTCCAGTCCCATGGCTGCCACACAGGAAACAGTAAGTTTTTCTTAAAGTTACAGTTCAAATTCAGACCCAATTGGACTAAAATTTACTATGTGCCAAGCAAGCATTGTATTAAACATACCTGCATATTCTTTTTCTCCTTATGCATCCAATTGTCTCTGGAGAGACTGTGGATTCTGGGGGGCTGCGACTCTTGCCCGAATTTCCTTATAAACTAATGGAAGTGAAGGGAGGGGTTGAAGAAGCTGGTGCAAAACCATCTAACACAGCGGTTCTCAACCTTCTGGCCCTTTAAATACAGTTCCTCACGTTGTGACCCAACCATAAAATTATTTTCGTTGCTACTTCATAACGGTAATGCTGCTACTGTTATGAATCGTAATGTAAATATCTGATATGCAGGATGGTCTTAGGCGACCCCTGTGAAAGGGTCGTTCGACCGCCAAAGGGGTCGCGACCCACAGGTTGAGAACCGCTGATAGCATGTAGAAGGCAGAGTGGCACTGTGGGGAGGTCCCGAGCTTTTGTTCACGTAGAGCCGCATGTATGTGCTGTGTCAGCCCTCACTCTGAGGAAGTAGCTTCACTCCTCTCAGCTTCATTTGCAAACTGGGAGCGAACAGCCTCCCTGGAGGGCCACGGCGTGAGGGGTCAGAGGAGAAAAGCAAGGCAAGGCTCATAGCGATCCATCTTGGCATGGTAAACCCTCAACCCATTTTAGACCTCTCTCTGCCCATTGTGACTGGCTTTCACATGGTCTTGAGTCAGGTTAAAGGTTTTACGTTTCCCGTGTCAGTCCTGGAATTAGCAAGTGATCTATTCGTAATAGATGGTGAGGCTAACTTTTCTTTCTTTAACAGACAACCGGGCGTGGCCAGGAGGGGAAGTTCAGTGGACCCCTGAAGCCCATGACGTTCTCTATTTTCGAAGGCCAAGAACCGAGTCAGATCATATTCCAGGTAATGACCACTTTTGCTCGCTGTCGTCTTGACTTCTCGTGCTTTCTCAGTAGACTTTTATTCTGTGCAGCGGGAGGTAAAATAGAGGCTCGGCAGCTGTCCTTATCACGAGGGATTTCAGAAGCTGAGTTAAACAGAGGGGTGGTGGCCTCAGTGTTGGGAGGCCTTGTACCTGACACCCTCATTTGGGCCTCCTCGATTGTGTCTGGGGCGAGTTCTACCATCTGGGAGCAGGGATCTTGGTGCCTGTAGGCTCTGCCCCCACCACCCCCACTACCCTCCCCCCAAGGATGGGAAGACTTTCAGGAGTGGGATGGCCACCTGACCATCAGGCTGGCTGTTCAGTGCGTTTGCTACTTGAAGCGTTTGACAGTGTGGGTTCTCTGGAGTATGCGTCTGGCCAAAGGCCTACTCTTCTCACCACGCCTCTGAGCAGCCCCCCCCCCCCCACTTCCCACCAGGGCCCTTGCCTGTGGTTGAGCAAGGCACCCTGGGAGGCAGTCATAACCTTTAGGCAGGTAACCGAGAAAAGCAGTGGATTAAAGGGGGGCCTGCAGGTGGGAGTGAGAGGCTTCAGCTATAAAGGGCTCTGAAATAATCCCGGAAATGTAATGGAGGAGAAAAACACGCCACTGCATTTACCAGAAATCCCCTGGGAAGCCTGCTTGGCCTCAGGGTGGTTGGGGATGCTTTGATTAGCCTCTGGGGGTGCCCATGACCCCCACCCCCCCATATCAGGGAGGTTGCTAAGCTGCCTCCTACGGCAGGTGCATTCCCTGGTTTGTTAGACAGTTGCGCCCACAGAGGATAGGCTGGGAGCTGCCGCCTGCCCCCTCCATTTGGTATCAGTGCAGATTCATGCAGAGGGCCCAGGGCATGGCTGGCAGGGTGCCCATGTGTCTCTGCCCGCCTGGCGTGCAGGGTGTTAGGGAGGTCTTGACCTCTCCGGTCGGGGAAGTCAGGCAGGGAGGGAGGAGCGGATGCTTTGGGAGCTAAACGGCTGTTAGGAATTCACTTGGAGAGGAAGCAGGGTGGGAGGTGTCCCAGCAAAGGCCCAGCATGGACACCCGCCCTGTGCTGGGAGAGGGCAGAAGGCCAGAGCGATGGGAGCAGAGGGCAAGGAGAAGGAAGTAGGAGAGGGGGCTGCAGAGACAGCGAGGGCCCTGAGTCCTAAGGCTCTTAGATTTTCTCCCAAAAGCAAACGGCCTGAATCAAGTTTCCATTCCGGTTTGCTCTGTACAAACCGGAGGGAGGAAATGAGGCTCTGGGCTCACACACGAGATCACCTCGTTTACTGACTTTCTCTGCCTTGCCGGGGCCTTGGGTTGTAGATTCTCTCACATTTGTCATTCCTTTCATTTAGGTATTTATGCTTCATCATAAGCAGGTCAGAACTTCCTGGGCGAGGCACACAATCATTTTCTGTTATGAACCATGTATGAAGTGCCGTCTGTGTGCATCGGTTCTCAACCTGTGGGTCGCGAACAATGAAAATACATCCTGCATATCAGATATTTACATTACGATTCATAACAGTAGCAACATTACAGTTATGAAGTAGCAACGAAAATAATTTTATGGTTGGGGGTCACCACAACAGGAGGAACTGTATGAAAGGGTCGCGGCATTAGGAAGGTTGAGAACCACTGGAGAGGAACTAGGCTGGGTATGGGGTATAAGATGACTCCCAAACCATCCTGCCCCCAGGGAACTCATGGGGTAGGAGAAGAAACCTGACAAGCATGCAAGCACATGCCAGGAAGTGTTCTGATGAAAGTCTGGTGGGATGCAGAGGGGACAAAGGGCAGGTAAGGGAAGGGTGACCACTTTTCTTTTTCTTTTCTTTTTAAATATATTTTTATTGATTCAGAGAGGAAGGGAGAGGGAGAGATATACAAACATCAATGATGAGAGAGAATCATTGATTGGCTGCCTCCTGCACACCCCCTACTAGGGATCAAGTCCACAACCCAGGCATGTGCACCTTGGCCAGAATCAAACCTGGGACCCTTCAGTCCTCAGGCCCACACTCTATCCATTGATCCAAACTGGCTAGGGCCTTTTCTATTTTTTAATTGAGTTTTTTTGTCTTTTTACTGATGTAAGAGCTCTTTATATATTCTGCATACAAATTCCTTATCACATATCTGATTTGCAAATATTTTCTTACAGTCTATAGATTATCTTTTCACTTTCTTTATAGTGTAATTTGAAACACAAAAGCTTTTAATTTTGATTCAAGCTCAATTTTTTCTTTTGCTGTTTGTGCTTTTAAAAAAATCCTCATCCAAGGATATGTTTGATTTTAGAGAGAAAAGAAGGGAGAGGGAGAGAGAGAGAGAAACATGGATGTGAGAGAGAATCATTGATTGGTTGCCTCCCACACGCATCCCAACTGGGGATTGAATCCCCAACCTGGACATGTGCCCTGACCAGGAATTGACCCCCAACCCACTGAGCCACACTGGCCAGGGCTGTTGTTTGTGCTTTTGATGTCATATCTAAGAAACTTTCCCTATTGCTTTCTCTCATCCAGAGTCCTGAACATTGTGTTTGTGTATTCTTCTCAGGTTTTATAGTTTTAGGATTTACATTTAGGCCTTTGATGTATTTTTACTGTTGATTACTTTTGGAAAATTCCCCCCAAAATTGTTTGCAGTGAGTAAGCTCTGAGTTAGGTCCAAAAAAAAGGGGGCAGGGGAGGAAGGAAGGAAGGAAGGAAGAGGGAGAGAAAGAAAGAAAGAAAACCTGTAAGTCCAGATAACAGTTCTCTTGGTAGGTACATATCTATAATAATAAAAGCATAATATGCAAATCAACCGAATGGCCCAACAGCTGGACAACCTTCCAGATGAAGCCAGGGCTGCGAGGGCCAAGGCAGCAGCCAGGGTGGCTGCAAGGGCCTACCCTTGCACGAATTTTGTGCATCGAGCCTCTAGTATGTTTATAATTATTATAGTTTCTTGATGAAGTGAACCTTACAGAATGTCTTTTCTTTTTCTAATAAGAATTTTTGTTTTAAATTGGTATTATTTTAAAGTCTGTTTTCTCCCTCATAGTATAGATTAATTTCACCCTCATTTTGAAGGATAATGTTTTGGAAATACAATTGGCAGCCATTTTCCTTCAACACTTTGGATCTATCATTCCACTGTCTTCCTGCCTCCATGAGAAATCTGCTGTTCTTTTTATTGAGCATCCTTTGTACATGATGAATCTTTGCACTTTCAAGAGTCTCTGTATTTCACATGTTTGACTATGATGTGTCTAAATTTGGGTTTCTTTGAGTTTATTGTATTTGGAGTTTATTCAACTTCTTGGACATGTAGATTAATGTTTTCTCTCAAATTTGGGAAACTTTGGTTATTCTTTTTTCAAATAATCTTTCTGCCCTTTTCACTCCTTTTTTTCCTTCTCTGACTCTGATTATACATGTGTTTGCTTGATGGTGTTCCATTGTACCTAGAATTCTGTTAATAAGAATTAAGAGATTGTCATATATAGGGTGTCCCAAAATTCACGCAAGATTTGCAATTCAATTCAATTGCAAATCTTGCGTGAATTTTGGGACACCCTATAGCATCTTATCAAATTAAAGCCACTTTTGAATTGTTTTCTGTAATATTGAAATACCTCCTAATTGTCACAATGTTCAGAAGTACTAAATGACGTCTTTTTTTTTATCTTAGCAATAAAGCTACTCTTTTAAATCTTTTTTAGAAGTTGGCAAGGTTATAGTTTCCAGATATTTCCAGAAAAATCTCATCTAACTCCAGTTACCATTCAAAGCATCGGTTGACTTTTGTCCATATATTAAAGTATATTGTATACTGTTTCTTGAAGGAAATGTATTTTGAATATTAGTTAATGTTCAAGCAAACTTTTAGAATGTAGCAGTTTAAAAACTCAGAACTTCTTAATTAGCGATTGTACAAATGAAAGCATCACCTGGAATTGGTGATTTTCTACAAAATCTACAACACTGTTTTACTTACAACCTCATCTGACTTTTGCTTTTTCCCAGTTTAAGGCCAGTCCTCCTGCTGTGACTTTCAAACTCACCGGGGAGACGGATGGAATATTTGAGATACAACCAGATGGGCTTCTATATCACAACAGAGCTCTGGACAGGGAAACAAGGGCTGTTCACAAACTCCAGGTGAGTTGAGGCCAGGAAAAGTCACCTAATTCCAACCTTTCTGAGCATCCTTTGTCCTGGAAGTATCACTGGCACCATCACCCCTTGCCTAGAATCCTCTTAGGGCTCTTCTGGCGTTAATGGTATACTTGGTAAACCTCATTTGTCCATTTTTTTACCAGCTACAGAGGGGCATGGTGAAGGTCCCCTCTTCCTTAGGCTTTTTGACCACAGCAACCCAGTTTACATTGCCAAGGCCCTCAGATGGCATTACTCATTCAAGTATGGCATGCTCAGCCACCTGGAGCAAAACCAAGCCAACACGTCTGTGATTTTCACTGACGCCTGCCTGTGTCTGCTGTGTGGGCTCTGGATCCACAAAGAAGGCAGCATCAGTGCGGGGATGGAGCTTCTTTGCATCTTGCAAGAAGCAGAAATAACCAATGGTCAGTTTTTGTGTGTGGTATCTGAATATGCAGGCACAATAGAGAGCTAATTGTGGGGGGAAGAGCAATCCGAAAGCTTTCTGTGTAGTAACTTCTACTATTGGATCGGCAGGTTGACCATTAAAATGCCTCTGTAAGCGGCCATCGTGCCACTTCCATAGCCTCAGGGACAAGGTGCTCTGATTTCACTGACTCCAGCTACTTAGCAAAGAAGCATGTCTAGCGTACAGCATACCCCAGCCCTGGAAAACAGTCCTGATCGCCCAGGCTTACCTGATAGGGCCCCTGTCCTAGCCGCTCCCGATTTGGGCTTGGATGGGTGTCTTTCTCTGCTGGTTCTTTGAACTCTTAATTTCTCTCAAGTGACTTTTGTTGAGTGACATGAAGTCCAGGTTCACCGCGGTGGTTCCCTTCCCTTTCTCCATCAGGTCTCAGCCTTGGATGCTCAGGGAAATACGGTGGAGGGTCCGGTCCCCATCACAGTAGAAGTGAAGGACATCAATGACAATCGACCCACGTTTCTCCAGTCAAAATACGAAGGCTCAGTAAGGCAGAATTCTCGCGCAGGTAATGGGAGTCTGGAGGTATTTACGGAAAGCAGGAAGGGTACCCGGCAGAAGGGGGCGATTTATGTGGCTAACAGCTGCAGCCATCACTCATTAAGCGCTTCCTATCTTATTTAAATTTCACAGCAATCCTCTGGGAGTTGTTTTATTATCCCTATTGCTCTCGGGCAGCGGTTCTCAACCTGTGGGTCGAGACCCTTTTGGGGGTCGAACGACCCTTTCACAGGGGTCGCCTAAGACCATCGGAAAACACATATATAATTACATATTGTTTTTGTGGTTAATCACTATGCTTTAATTATGTTCAATTTGTAACAATGAAAATAATACATCTTGCATATCAGATATTTACATGACGATTCATAACAGTAGCAACATTACAGTTATGAAGTAGCAACGACAATAATTTTATGGTTGGGGGTCACCACAACATGAGGAACTGTATGAAAGGGTCGCAGCATGAGGAAGGTTGAGAACCACTGACAGGGCATGGTTTCTCTTGGGCCTGATAATCCTCTCCTTTTTTGGTCAGGTGCTGTTATATGCATTGTAGGATGTTTAACAACATCCCTGACCTCTACTCCCCAGATACCAGTAGCAACACCTACCACTAAGTTGTGACAACAAAGATGTCTTCAGACATTGTCAAATGTTCCCTGAGGTTCCCCAGTTGAGAACCGCTATTTTACAGTGAGCTTTAGAAGACCTTAAAGCTCTATACCACTTTAGAATACTCTGGAAAGCCGAACCGGTTTGGCTCAGTGGATAGAGCGTCGGCCTGCGGACTGAAAGGTCCCAGGTTCGATTCCGGTCAAGGGCATGTACCTGGGTTGCGGGCACATCCCCAGTAGGAGATGTGCAGGAGGCAGCTGATCAATGTTTCTCTCTCATCGATGTTTCTAGCTCTCTATCTCTCTCCCTTCCTCTCTGTAAAAAATCAATAAAATATATTTAAAAAAAAAAAAAAGAATACTCTGGAAAGGTGAGCTCACTCTCCCATATCCTCTCAGGAATCTTACATTCTCATGGTCACTGTTGGCTCCCATTTATTTTTCTTCTCTTACTTCCAACCCTAGACGTATATCCATTCACTATGCTACTACCCTTCATTTCCACACAAAAACAAAAAGGCACAGGTGTGTGCCACAGACTTTACTGAAGATCTGGGGAGATGAGAGAGCATTTTATAACAGTGCACAAAATAAACATGAGTATTAGACTTCTGTGTTCTCAGAAAGATTCTTGGCCATGTCCATCAGCTCACTGTCAAGTTTCTCTCTACGCTAGTTAATCTCACCTCTCATTCTTGAATGGCCACTTCCAATAACTCGGGGAAAGTGTTTTGTCCACTTTATTATGTGGAGTAATTTCACTGTCTTTGCCCCTGAAATTTCATACCAAAGACTGTCCAATAAGCTCTGCCACATAAGCATCTTCCACATCTTCCCCTTCCTCTCCTCATCGATAGGGTGTTCTAGATTAGTGGTTCTCAAACTTTTTGGCCTCAGGGCTCTTGTATTCCTCTAAAAATTATTAAGGACTCCAATGAACTTTTGGATATATTCAGTGGTGTTATATGTAGATTACATCCAGAGGGGTGCTGGTAAATGTTTAATAGCTGTCTCTCTGGGCAGGGGGTGGGAGCGGGGGTGGGAAGCCCTGCTTATAGCACTTACCAATTTCTGTGGGAAAAATATTCCTACCATGGCCTATTTTAAGCTATCAATGGTGTTAATAATTTGCTCACAAAACTTCTAGAAATTCAACTATTAGCTCTCTCGAGCTGGCTCCAGTACATCACTAGTTGTATCTACCGATATTTATCATGTTAGAAATTAAAACGGAGAAACTTCAAAATTTATTAATTCTTTTAAAATCATAAACATTTTAATAAAAACTATATTTTCAAAAAACAAAAAGACTTATCAAGCAGAGTGGCATTGTTTTATTCTTTGCAAATCCCTGTAGTGTATGAATTAATTGAAAACAATTGGATTCTCATGCCTGTTTCTGCACTCATTCTTTTGCAACATGCTGTTTTGATTGAAGCATATGAAGAAAAACTTGCCTCACATAGATATGTACTTGGAAAAGGGAGGAATGTCATAATAGCATTTTGAGATAACTATGGATATTCTTTGATACTCTACCTAAACTCAACAAGTGGTGGTTTCTTAAAAGCTGGTTACCATGTGGAATCTGAAACCATATTAATGCCTTTTCTTTGGGTACTCCTTTACACTAAACTCCATGAAATTAACTTGTGCTTCGAGTGGATATTTTTTTTTAATATATTTTATTGATTTTTTACAGAGAGGAAGAGAGAGGGATAGAGAGTTAGAAACATCAATGAGAGAGATCGATCAGCTGCCTCCTGCATGCGCCCCACTGGGGATGTGCCCGCCGCAACCAAGGTACATGCCCTTGACCAGAATTGAACCTGGGACCCTTCAATCCGCAGGCCGACGCTCTATCCACTGAGCCAAACCGGTTAGGGCAAGGATCTTTTTTTAACATGTGCATAAATTTAGACTCCACTGACCCTAAAAACAGTCTTAGAGACCCCTAGAGGTCCCTGGACCATACTTTGAGAAACCTCATCCTGGGGAAAGGAAGCAGAATAAAGGTTTATTTTCCCACTGATATAAATTATGGCATCTCCCTCCCTCCCCCCCACCCCCCAATCTGTCTCTGCATCTTAGAAGGCCAAAGTGGCTCTGGTTGGTTTGTGTTTCCATTAATATCTTTTTCTCTTTCTGGGTATGTTTTGTTAAATAGGAAAGCCTTTCATGTATGTCAATGCTACAGACCTGGATGATCCAGACACTCCCAATGGCCAGCTTTTTTATCAGATTGTCATGCAGCTTCCCAAGGTCAACGATGTCATGTACTTTCAGATAAACAACAAAACAGGGGCAATATCACTTACCCTTGCAGGTAAGTCAACGGATGCCTTCATAGGACTGATTCAGAAGAAGGGACCTATATCTGTGTCAGCTTCAGACACATTTCCCTTTCTGTTCTTTGCTACTTTCGATAGGATCGAAGGAATTGGATCCCAGTAAGAACCCTTTCTATAGTCTGGTGGTCTCAGTGAAGGACATGGGAGGCCAGACTGAGAATTCCTTCAGTGACAGCACATCTGTAGATATCACGGTGAAGGAGAATATTTGGAAAGCACCCGAACCTGTGGAGATTGTGGAAAACTCGACTGATCCTCACCCCATCAAAATCACTCAGGTAGTGCCTAAGGAATGCCTAGAGCCCATTGGATAAATGCTCTCCCTTTGTACAAGCCCACTTTCATGGTCTTCACTGGTATATTTATTATGTACATTTTTTCCCATAGCATAATTATAAAGCAAACTAAATAGACAAAGTTCCTGGCCGCAAGTCTCTGGAGTTTACTATCATGGGTAAACTCTGACCAAACTGGATTCATATCTCTAGCTCTCACTCTATCTATCTATCATCTCCATCTCCCATCATCTGTATCTGTATCTATCTATATATCTTTAAAAGAGAACTTCATCTAAGATTCCCAAGATACCATTGATGTTTGTTGTTCCCTGTCAGTAGTCTGGCTGCACTAAAGTGGGTTGTATATGACACACACATCATGTACATGTATATGATATGCATTTTGAAAAGCTGCTTCTTATTCTTGTGGGGAAAGTCTCTATCCAGTAGACCAGTGATGGCGAACCTATGACACGCGTGTCAGAGGTGACACGCGAACTCATTTTTTTTGGTTGCTTTTTCTTTGTTAAATGGCATTTAAATATATAAAATAAATATCAAAAATATAAGTCTTTGTTTTACTATGGTTGCAAATATCAAAAAATTTCTATCTGTGACACGGCACCAGAGTTAAGTTAGGGTTTTTCAAAATGCTGACACGCCGAGCTCAAAAGGTTCGCCATCACTGCAGTAGACTCTTCCCACCACAGATGGAGGGACATGGACAGGATTGACCGAGAGTTGAGTAGGCAGCCTCTTGACCTTTGGAGACCACCCTCCCCCAACTCCACCTCCCCTCTTCATTCACATGCTCCCCCTTCCCACCTCTGTGACTGATGCTCTCACCCTGAGTGCCCTCTTCCCTTAGCTCCTGTAAATACGTGCTGGCTCCACTCAGATCTGATCTTTTCTGGAAAATCAGGAGTTCTCTTGACATGAAAGCTGTGGGTTAGTGAGAGAGCACCGGGTTTGGAAGCAGATAACCGAAACCATGTCCTTGCTCCATTACGTTAATGATTGATCTAGAAGAAGTCATTTAACTGTTCTGAGCCCCAACCTCTCAACAGTAAAATGGGGATAATAACACCTCTCTGGGTTTTCGTGGAGATTAAATAAGAGGTCGTGTCTGTGAACATGGGTAACAGGGATTCATGTTATGATTGAGTCCCAGCCTGTGGTTCCCCTAAGATTGTTTTAAAATGACACTGTTGTTAAGAGGCCCTGGGATGGTCCACCCCATATATATTGTAAAACTTAAAAGAGTTTTCATTTATTGAATGTTGAATTAATGAACCTCACCAGGAGGAGGAAGAAAGAACGAAAGCCGGAGTTATTCTGCTTTACCAATGAAGAAAGTATGTCAGGACTCAATTCCATGACAATTGCAGATTTGGAGCCTTTGCTGAAGTCTTCTTATCTATCATTTAGGCTATCCCCATAAGGATTTGTAAATGCTAAAAAGAATGCATATGCTTGTTTGCTCTCGGGGCTGTAGAAGGAAAAAAATTCTGGGGTGCCACACCCACCGCCTTTCCTCACAATTTGGTATCTTTCCTCATGATGCACTTTGACCCCATAGGTGCGGTGGAATGAGCCAGGTGCTCACTATTCCTTAGTCGAAAAGGAGAGGCTGCCAAGATTCCCGTTTTCAATTGACCAGGAAGGAGATATTTATGTGACTCAGCCCTTGGACAGAGAAGAAAAGGATTCAGTGAGTAAAACTGGGAGGAGTTTCCCAAAGGACAAGACCGAGTGCTGTGCTCACAGAGAGCTGAGAGCAGAAAAGATTTTACTTAACACCAGTAACAAGACCCCAAACCATACATTATTGATCTCAAGACATGATAATATCCCCACAAATCTGATCCATTTTTTTTCTCATTTCCCAATTCTAAGTCAACTGGAAATAAGGGAATTAAACGAAATAGAATTGAAACAGTCATTTTCTCTGCCTTTTAAAGGCAATGATGGGGTCATGTCTTAATGCTGATCTTCCTGTTGTAGTACGTTTTCTACGCATTTGCAAAGGATGAGCTTGGAAAACCACTTGCACTCCCACTGCAAATTCATGTGAAAGTTAAAGACATTAATGATAACCCACCGACGTGTCCACCTACAATGCCGGTCTTTGAGGTCCAGGAGAATGAACAAATAGGTAAGGAATGAGAGCTGTTCAAAGCTGTGTAACTGTCTTTCTTGTGTTAACTCTATACTCCCTTTATCCTCTCTGTCTTGGAGAAGGTGGACAGGTAAACCTGATTGATGATCAGTTATCCACTAGCACAGTGTAGAGGTTGAATACACCTTGAGACTCACACAAGTATAGTTTTCTGGCTCAGTTACTATCTGGGTCGTGTTCTTAAATTGGAGCATTTATGGCTACTATCACCACCACTACCACTATTACTACCCCTACTAGTACTGTTACCACGATTAATACTACTACACCATCCTTACCACTAGCACTAACACCATAACCACTTACACCACTATCCTGTGTACATATATAAGATTATCTCATTTGCAAGATTTTTACATAGATCCTTATTTTCCCTCCAACAAACTGAGTAACAGATAAAACTGCACCAAATTTGATAAATCATTTAAATCAGCATCTACACCCAAGGTCAGATACTCTGCAACAAATAAGCACAACAAATGGAAATTGACTTTTGACCCTTGTTGCTCCCTCTCTAGGAAGCTGATAATAATAGTTCAGGAGGCTGGCTGGTAGATGAAGTTCAAGTCCTATCCATTTTGGTCTTTTTGTTCTTGACTTGCTTTGTTTTCTTTTACTGTGTCTCATGGTAGCTTTAGTTTTGCACAGGGACAACTACTAGGAGAACATTATGCTCTCTGGAAGTTTTATTACTTCCCTGGATTTAGGTAAACTCTTGTCTATTACTCCTTGGTGTTGAGTCAATTGGCTGAGCAGGCTGGCTTTTCTTGAAATGTTTTTGTCTGTTGTTTCCTGTGAGTTTCAGAGGGTTTAACAGTGTCTTATATGACTGTGATGCCTAGGGCTCTGCTGCCCTCCTGGGCAGATCCTCACATGTCTGTGGACCTTCTCATCATTTTCGTCTTATCTCTCTCTTCTTGCCACACACTTTTGACATAGTGGCTGCAGTCCTGGTGGCTCGGTAGGCACCGCTTGCATGGCTTGCTTGCTCAATGCTTACATTTCACTCCTCACTGTCAGGAGTCATATGTAGGCTATGTATTGTCAGTGTGAGTTGCTTAGGTCCTCTCTTTTTCATTTATGCCAATCCTTGCTGCAACAGGAGCTATTAAATGACAACTTAAAGGATTTTCATTAATTCTAAGGGAGAATCCTCTAACAGTGACAGTTGCGTAACAATGGAATGTGTGTCAGTAGCCGAGAATCACTTTTTGGGAACCTGGGATGATCTGTGATGCCGAGTGAAGGCAGAAGACCCTTGAAGACCCTTCCAGATGATGCCTCAAGTCTCTTTGCATAAGGTCTAACCTTTAGTTTATTAGTTGTCTATTGCTGCATAACAGCATAAAACAACAAACATTTATTATTTTACAGTTTACAGTTTCTGTGAGTCAGAAATGGGCCAGGAATTCTTATAAATCAGCACGGATTGAATTGATTCTATATATGTAGGCTGTAAAACAATGCCCCTGCCCGGTGGGGGGGAGGGGGCCTTACTGTTTAGCTCAAAAAATACTAAATTATTTCTTTGTACGTCTATATTCTCCTGTTTGGTGTCTTATATTAGCCAGAATCTTATGAGGCTCAAGTATTAACAACGTCAACAGTAATTTTGGAATCCCACTTGCTACCAAGTCCTTTGTACTCATGTAGGAATTAGCCTTTCATAAAGCACCACTTCTCTAACGTATTTCCGGGGGCTCCAAGAATCAGTTTGAGATGCCACTTGGTCCTGGCCTTTGTCTCAGAGACATGGCACTCCTTTCTCCTCTCATCCACAAATACTATACTCACCCCGAGTGGCACCCCTCCTGGAATTTCCCCGGTCACTTATGTCGACAGCTCGGGGGGGCCTCTGGCAGCCGGGATTTCCTGTGAAGTGAGAGAGCAGTGTCCTTGGTGTTGTGCTCACTTGTTTTGGGGGATGGTCCAGAGCAGGGCTGCTCAGACATCAAAGATCCCAGAATTCAGCAAGACACTCTTCGTTCCAGCACGCAGATCTTTTTTATTTTTTTAAAGCAAGGGCAGACATGTGCCACAAAGGTGACTTGGTTGTGATGGATTCAGAAATAGCAGCGGCTACTGTACTAAATACATCATCTTCTCCGCTCTGTTGCTCATGATGCCCTCCTTCCTCAGCCCCTGAGGCACAGCTCCATGGGTCCAGCTCCATTACAGACTGAAATAGCAAGTCCCCTCCCCCATAACAAAATTCCTTCAGGTTTCCATATGTCAGCAGATGCCAACTGATAAGGGAGGTGGGGACAAACCTAAACCACAAGTGGCACATAATCAAGTCTCAGTCCCACTTTGGGGTTGCAGCTGCGTGTAGAGAAACCCACGATTCCCATTTCATGGAGCCAGATGATCCAGAATCGATCATACCTCCCCCAGAGCTGGGTGAAGTCCTGAGTCATCACCTCTGACTTAGGGAACGCCCTGGACTGACACACTCAAAGGAATAAATCCTCGGGGCCAGGAAGGCAGTGAGGCAGGGAGCATGCGGGCCTGCTCTTTGCCCCGTGTTATCTCTGGGGTGGAGTCCACTGTTGGCTTGCCCTTCAGTGAGACCATTTGCCTTGCATATTAGTGTCCGAGGGTAGTTGTGACAAAGTGCCACAAAGGTGGGAGCTTAGAACACCGGGAGTGTATTCTTTCACAGTCTGGAGGCTAGCAGTCTCACATCAAGGCGCCTGCTCGAGGGGGCATCCTCCCCGGCCTGTTCTGGCTTCTGGGGGCTCTTGGCACGCCCTGGCTGCTTGTGGTAGCACAACCCTATAGTCTCTGCCTCCTGCTTCACAGGGCCTCCACCTCCGTGTGTGTGACGTTGTGTTTTCTCTTCTTATGGGAACACTAATCGCTAGATTTGGGACCCACGCTAAATCCAGGGTAATTTTATCACAAGATCCTTAACTAGTTACATCTGCAAAGCCCCTGTTTCCAAATAAGGTCACAAGGAGGTTTGGCGTGAACCCGAATTTTTGTGGGACACTATTTGTTATGGGCTGAATTGTGATTACCTCCCCCCGCCCCAATTTATAAGGTAAAGTCCTAATGCCCACTATCTCAAAAGCTGACTATTATTTAGAGAAAGGGTCTTTTTAAGACATACAGTGAAAACAAGGTCATTTGTGTGGGTCTTAATCCACTATGAACTCATGTTGGCATTGCTAATGCTTGGGGACATGAGTCCCACAAGATTCTGGCTAATATAAGACACCAAACAGGAGAATATAGATATACTAAGGAATACGTTAATACAAGGAATAAGTTGATATACTAAGGAATAAGTTAGTATATTATTGAGCTAGACCATAGCCCCCCAAAGGGCAGGGGCATTGTTTGTACCTCTTTTACCCTAAGAGTGTAGAATAGACTCAGGACAACATTCTGAATCCATCACTGATGTGCTGTTCTTCCAAGAAGAGGGAATCTGGACACAGACATGTACAGAGGCATGACCATGTGAGGACACATGGAGATGAGAGCTACGTACAAGCCAAGGAGTGAGGACTCGGAAGAAACCCGCCTTTCTGACACCCTGATCTCAGGCCTCTGTGAGATCCAGAAATTGTGAGAAAATAACGTTATGTTGTTAAAGCTGCCCAGTCGGTGGCACTTTGCGATGGCAACGCTATCAAACTAATACACGACTCAACACACTACACGATGGGGAGGGTTAGAAGAACCAAAAGAAATCTAAGAACTTTAGTCAGCGGTTCAAAGTTATGTACAGAGCGTTCCAGGGACCTGCTGATCCAGCGGAACCATTGAAAATAGATGGAGCCCTAGCCGGTTCGGCTCAGTGGATAGAGCGTCAGCCTGCGAACTCAAGGGTCCCAGGTTCGATTCCGGTCAAGGGCATGTACCTTGGTTGCGGGCACATCCCCAGTAGGGGGTGTGCAAGAGGCAGCTGATCGATGTTTCTCTCTCATTGATGTTTCTCTCTATCCCTCTCCCTTCCTCTCTGTAAAAAACCAATAAAATATATTTTTAAAAATAAAATAGATGGAATAGAGTCTGCGATGGGTGAATTTTCTTCTTTTCTTCTTCCCAGTGAGCAGTATTGGGACGCTGGTTGCCCACGACATGGATGAAGAAAACACTGTCAACAGTGTTCTACATTACAAAATTGTGGATCAGTTCCCTAAGTTTCCCAAAGATGGACTCTTCCTCATCCAGAGCTACACGGGGGTGTTCCAGTTAGCCATGCAGTCCTTGAAGAAGCAAGACGCTTCCCAGTACCTCTTGACCGTGGAGGTGTCCGACAAAGGTTAGTGTCACATTCGCTGTCCAGAGTGAAAAACACTTGCTTCCCTTTTCTTGTGATGTGTTAGGCTGTTCTAATGCCTGGGCGTATTAAAGAAGGATGCTGCGTAAGAGTCCCTGCTTCCTATGCGAAACACGTGCAACACAGAGGCAGCTGGTCCAATGACAGGTCAGGCAACACTGTTGTGTTGGTCCCGGTCCTCCAAGAAGCAGATGCCAAGAGATTAAATGTAGGAGAATTCTATGAGGAGAGATGCCTCTGAGAAAAAAGTGGGGCGAGATACAGAGAAGGCTGGGAGAACCATCGGACTGTAATATAAGCCTGACTCCGAGTGAAGGAGATAGGGAAGGAGGGCTGGTGGGCGTGTCATAGACCACTGAGCACTCAAAGAAAAGTTTGGCACGGTCATCAGGGAGTTCGAAATTGGACACTGATGGAGTCCATGATCTTTAAGAAGGGGCCTCCCTGAGCATGGCTGCCTTCTTCAGTCGCTGGCTGGGGGCAGCTGTGGGGAGCAAGGCCTCAGTGCAAATGTGGTGATGGATTACCGGGTGTAGCAGTGGGGCCACCATCCTTTAATGTCCCTGTTGTTGGAGGTTGGCCAGGCACGTTGTGATGGCCACCATAATCATAAACAAAAAAATTAATTCTATTTCCCAATTCTTCCTTTTGGACTCCAAGTATCCTACTGTGTGAAAGTGGAGGGAAAATGCATCTTTTGGGAAGGTTGATCTTCTATTACAGCGGTTCTCAACCTGTGGGTTACAACCCCTTTGGCGGTCGAATGACCCTTTCACAGGGGTCGCCTAAGACCATCCTGCATATCCAATATTTACATTACGATTCATAACAGTAGCAACATTACAGTTATGAAGTAGCAACGAAAATCATTTTATGGTGGGGTCACAACATGAGGAACTGTATTTAAAGGGCCAGAAGGTTGAGAACCACTGGCTTAGTACTTTGGCGGCCCCCTGCTGGCCCTAATGAGGTTTGTGAGTGCAGGTCCCGGGCACCGCCAGTCTTTAGCCATTTTTGTCCACAAATGTCCTGGGGACCAGCCCCATCTTTAATCAACATCCACTTATTTAGACTTCAGTTATGATTAGATGACATGCCCGGGGCACTGAGCAGGAGCTCTGGAGTAAAGACTGCCTGAGTATGTTCGTTAGGATCCCAGCAGGAAATAGAGGGGCCCCCTCAAAAGGAGTAACCAAAGAGAGTTTAAAGGAAGGTTGTGGGAAAGGTGAAGGAACCAGCAGGCAGTGTGACGCACAGTGGCCAGCCTTTCCTACCCTAAGGCGTGAAGGGTTGAGGGAAGGGAGCATTCCCGGAAGTGGCAAGCCCCGGGCCTGTGGCTATCCACAAAGCCGCTGGCCCTGGGAACCCCACCAAACCTTTCGCCTCCTGCCCTTCCTCCCACTTCCTGCCAGAGTTCCTATTGGCAGAACCCAACTGGTACCCAAAGGGCCAGAATGCCCACTGATGCAGTTCATAAGGTGGGCCTCCCAGACAGAGCAGGGAGGAGGATGGGGAGCAGGTGTAGCGGACGCAGGGAGCACGTAGGTTTATAAATTCTGGCTGGACCCCTAGTTCGCTGTGTGACCTTAGTCAGGTTACCTAACTTCCCTATCCCTTGGCTTCCTCATTTGTGAATCAAATGAATGACAACAGTACCTACATCATGAAGTGAGTGTGAAGATAAAAGAAGTAATGCAGGTGAAGCACTTATACAGTGCCTGGTACCTAGACAGTGCTAACGATTTTGTATGACGTCAAGACCTCAGTTCTTTTGTTATCTAGATTTTATACAAAAAATTACTGAGGCCCAGAGACCTTGAGTGACACAATTAAGCTCTCACACATCTGACAAGTGGCAGAGCCAGAATTTGAGCAGTGGGATTCCAGAGCCCAGGTTCTTAATATTTCTATGATACAGGACATCATGATTGTTAGAATGACGGTGATTCCAACAAAGAACCTGTCATGTTTTTTCTTATTCTCAATACTAGAGGCCTGGTGGACAAAATTCGTGGACTTAGGGAGGGGTCCTTCAGCTCGACCTGTGCCCCCTTGCAGTCCGGGAGCCCTTGGGGGATGTCCGACTGACGGCTTAGGCCTGCTCCCCGGAGTCGTGGAGTGCTGCCGTGGAGTCGGAAGAGGCTACCACCACTGCCTCTGCGGTCACAGCTGTGAGCCTGGCTTCTGGCTGAGCAGTGCTCCCCCTGTGGGAGTGCACTCACCACCAGGGGGCAGCTCCTGCATTGAGTGTCTGCCCCCGGTGGTCAGTGCGCATCATAGCAACCGGTCATTCTGCCGTTCAGTTGATTTGCATGTTAGCCTTTTATTATATAGGATTTCCCTGGGCACCCCATTCCCACCCACACACCATGCTCATCTTAGACTCAGACTGAAGCTGCTGTCTCTGACTAGGACTTTGAATTGTCAAACCTCTTCCTCAAAGCCTGTGTCATTTCCCCAGGATTCCATGAGCCGCCTCTGTCCCTGTCTTGCCTCCAGCAAGCTGGGTGGTCAGCCATTTGAAGGGGACTAATTGTACCACTTCCTCCCTTACTTGGAGGGCAGGGAGCAGGCACCTGACCCTTCCTTCCCACCGTGGGAGCAGAGGAGAGGTAGGACAGTAAGTGCTGGGAGAGTCAGAGAGGGAAAGAGCCGGCTGGGGTGCTCGGGGAAGGTTTTCTGGAAGGAGAGGTTTGCACTGGGCTTTGAGGGCTGCATCACTGTCAGTAGTTCGGAAAAAGAGGCTGCTTCACAGAAAAGCAACAGTGTGGCTTGAGAACAACCCTTACCCTGGAGGGGGCAGGTGGAGGGACGTGGGAAGCCCAGGCGAACCTCTTGCAGGACTTTCTTCAGCCTCCCTTGACCAGCTTGTGGGTGCAGGTGGGGAGCAGAGGATCCCGTTTCCACACAAATTGCCTGTCAACAGCGAAATTGTGGCTACGGCTGCCACTTCACTTGCCAATGCTTTTCTTGCAGGTTTCTGATGTTAATGCATGATTTTTCAGTGAAAAAAATGTTTGTGATATGACTTTGATTTTCAGATTTCCAGACCCTCTGTCAAGTGAAAATCAACGTTATTGATATCAACGATCAGATCCCCATCTTTGAAAAATCAGATGTGAGTAGTTGTCACCTGTTGTTTTTTTCTTTACTTTGTTTGTATCACTTGATCCCTGCTTCTGGAATCAAGACACAGACAGTATGGAGGGAAAATGCCAGACTTCACAGGTAGCCTTAGGCAATGCAATCGTAACAACCCAGACACCTTCTCCAGTGAAATTCTTGGGGGGACATTCACTGGTGTAGTATCTGGGAACGTCTGTTTGTAAACTTCTACCAATGGCTCATTTACTCCAAGGGCTGCTTAAAAGCTGCAACCACAATCTTTGTCAAATTGAAAGGAGTCGAATGGCTACGTGCGGTGTGTCATTATATATTTTGTGTGTCGTAGGATGATAAATGGATTCCTGCTAGGTTTCAAACAAGCAATTTTCGTAAAAAGTTTAGTATTTGGAATATTGGCAACTTAAACTCATTTTGCAGTATTTGGATAAGAGAAAAGGAGAAGAAAAAATACTAATTTCTGGTGTAAGCCAACGAAAAACGCGCTCAAGATATTTGCAAGAATTAGGAACATTGGGCAGAAAAAGCAGGAGTAATAAGTTTCAGTTGAGGACATCAAGAAAAATGTTTACTTGTTGTCGACGTGGGCTTTACACTTGAGGGTAGTTCTATCACTGTTCCCTTAGAGGGGAGGTCTCTGTCTACTTATTCTGCAGCAGAGAGAAGCCTGTTTTAGTAGTTTGTTTGAAGTCAGTAATGAGATAGCCCAGAACCCTGTTCATATATCAAAATGTTCATACATCAAAACAGGGACAAGGCTGTGGCAAAGAAGGGGAATTGATTTATGGGAGGGTTCAGGGCAGTAAGAGGTGTGACTGAACATAACCTGTGTAACAGGCACTGAGGCAAAGCAAGCAGGAGCTGGAACCACTTGCTTCTCAGCTTCCATGTTCCCATCCTGGTGTTACATAGACAGTGGTTTCAAATTGAAGGTGAGATCCAGCTTTGGGAGTGTCAGGGCTTGGAAGGGCACACTGGGCTCTAGAGAATGAGTCTGCTGCTGTCACTGCTCTGGGCTTCTCCTGGGCCCTGGCTAGTGCCCTCTTTAAGATTGCAACCCCCCCAGAAATGATCTGGGGGATTTTCAGCAGAGGAGCGGGAGATGGTCTAGGCCCGTGGTCGGCAAACTGCAGCTCTCGAGCCACATGCGGTTCTTTGGCCCCTTGAGTGTGGCTCTTTCACAAAATACCACGTGTGGGCGCGCACGTACAGTGCGATTGAAACTTTGTGGCTTATGCTCAGAAGTCGGTATTTTGTGGAAGAGCCACACTCAAGGGGCCAAAGAACCGCATGTGGCTCGCAAGCCGCAGTTTGTTGAGCCGCAGTTTGTCGAGCCGCAGTTTGCCGACTGCTGGTCTAGGCCAGTGATTATGAGCGCAAGCTTTAAGTTAGACAACATGGGTGTGAATCCCAATTCTCTATGGTCTTAGGTGAGTTTTACCTCTCCAATCCTTTGCTCTTCTGTCGAATGGAGATGATGATATAGCTACTCAGTAGGGCTTGCTGCTTATCTTTATTGAGTACTGACTATGTGCCAGGCACCAGGGACTTTCCATGCGTTATTGCTTCAGCTTCACAGCAAACATGAAGTAGTTCTATTATTATTATTTCCATTAGACATGATGAAACCGAGACTTAAATACGTTAGATAACTTGCTTCAAGTCACCCTGCTAGTAAGTGGCAAGCCTAAGATTTATACTATTTGACTCCGAAGTTCAGACTCTTAACCACTACTCCTTGGTTGATTGTGGACTAATTAAAATAACGTATGTAAAAGTACCTGCCGCGTGATAAGTACTCAATATATAGTATTTATTTTTGTCCTTACTTATATAATAATAAGGTTAGTAAATGTTTTGGATGTGGGAGTGGGAATCTGTTTGAGAATCCTACCAGTAGCTCTCTGAGATGTTGTGTTTCTTGGTACAATGAATATCAGTCTATGAGTATGATTGATGTCAGAATCAACTACAACATATTTAGCCATAGGAAAAACATGCGTGGTGAATATTGATGCAAATTATGACTTGTGTCCATTCTGAAGCTAAGGAGACAATAGCCCTTGGACAGCTAATTATTCTTGATGACGAGCACATTCTTATTGTTTCCTTCTTAGTACGGAAACCTAACTCTGGCCGAAGACACAGCCGTTGGGTCCACCATCTTGACCATCCAGGCCACGGATGCTGATGAGCCGTTTACTGGGAGTTCTAAAATCCTGTATCGAATTACACAGGGAGATGATGAGGGGCGACTGGGGATTGACACCGATCCCCAAAACAACACTGGATATGTCATAATTAAAAAGGTACATGACTCATGGAATTTGCCTTTTTTCTTTGGTTAATTTCCCTATGACTATGCAAGGACCTATAAGCAGAGGTGATGTATCCGCAGAGACCTCTCAGGCAGACCAAGGACCCTGGAGTAATCTCAATCATTCCTGTCCTCCCAGAGGGCAAAAGGCCAGGAACCTAGTTCTGGGTCTGTCATTAGCTGACCGAGTGAGCTTTGTGGGGGGGAGGGAGGATTGTCATATAAAATACATAAAACACACGATAAACAATTTTTAGTATATGTGTGTCCCAGGTAATATGTGGGACAAACTTATACTAAAAAATGTGGTTGTTCATCTGAAATTCAGATTTAACAAGGTGTTCTAGATTTTTATTTGCTGAGTCTGGGTAGGGTGTGTGCTTAGGGCTTTACTTCTCCCTTTGCAAATGGGGGGCGGGGGGGCGGGGGTTAGACTGGATGAATCCTATGAGCACTTAAGACTATAGACCTTTTCTTCTAAAGTGCCAGCCATAGACTCCTCTTTAAAAAAAAAAAGATTGGAAATTGATAGATAGCCTTTTAAGGTTGAATAGACACGTTTATCCTTTTTACCCCTTCTCCACCCACCCCTTCCTTTTGGGTTCCATCATTTGCTAGAACAGCTCAGAGAACTCAGAGAAACACTAACATTTGCTAGTTTATTATGTGTTAAAGGATATGGTAAAGGATACAGGCAAACAGCGAGATGAAGAGCTACAAAGGGCAAGACTGCAATGGTCCTGAGTGCAGGAGCTTCGGTCCCTATGGATTCGCACATGGATCCCAGAAGCGCTCCGATCCTCCTACTTGTGGGATTTTTATGGAGGCTTCCTCATGTAGACAGGAGTGATTCTGAACTCAATCTCTAGCAGGAGTGATTCTGAACTCAATCTCTAGCTTCCCTTCCCTGGAGGGGATGGTAGGGTGGGGTAGAATGTTCCAAGCTTCTAATCATGCCTTGGTCTTTCTGGTGACTAGCCCCCACCCAGGAGTTCACCAAGAGTTGTCTCATTAGCACGAAAGACATTTCTATTGCTCAGGAAATTTCAAGGGATTTAGGTGCTCAGTCTCAGGAACTGGGGTCAAAGGCCAAATATCAGAACAAAAGATGCTCTTTGTGCTCTTATCACCTAGGAAATTACAAGGATTTTAGTCGCTTCTGTGCCAGGAACTGGGGGCAAAGACCAATATATGTGTTTTCTATTATTTTATTTGCCCCAAGTGATGCTTAGGATTAAACAAGTTTTATAGAAATGCTGTCCTACTCAGTTTGACTGCCACCCAAAGCTCCGGCCTGTCGTGTGGTAGATCCTGATACTCTCAAGGCCAACGGGGTGTCAGGAGCAAGAAGGCTATTTCTTTGAGGCCTGCCAGCTCATCAAACATCTCTCCTGGGACTCCATTTCTTGAAATTCAGGATTTCATTTTAGCTTTAATTTTTTAAAATGCAAATTTTGTCACTTCTCCATGATAGCTGGTGTCTGGAATCCTGGGTTCAGGACCTATTATTCAGCCAGCCCTAGTGTCATCTGGAAAACGAATGCACAGTTTTTTCTCATGTTAAATATTCCCCGTTGCGACTCCGCTCCCTCAGCGCATTTATCTCTGTCTTCAGGTTGAGTCTAAGTCTCAAGGTTTGGCCTTCCAACCCCTGGTGTGCAGAAGAGCAACTGCGGGCCTGAGCATATTCTTTCAGCTTCTTTGATGACTGTGTCTCCTAGATGGATGTGAGGCCACGCCAAGAGGCCGTGATGAGTCTCTGGACTTGGCTTTGCAGCGTATCCCTGCATTATGCAAGATGATACACATGGTTCGACAGACTTGCCCTTGATTAAGCTCTGCTGATGATCATTAGCTAGTTTGGTATCTTTCGTTGCTAATGTTTTCCCTGGAGGATTTGGCTCAGTGTTTTTCCTGGCGTGAAAGTTAAGCAGGCTGATCGATGACAGGCTGCTCCGTTTTTCCTTTGTTCTTCCATTCGATACGGTTTAAGGGGCATTGCCATCTCTCTAACTGGTCTCCCTGCCTGGGTCTGGATCACCTCAAATCCATCCCTCACAGGGCTGCTCCCAGAAGTATCTTTCTAAAACACTAATCTGACCTTGTCCGTCTGACCTTGTCTCTCTCTGCTCCTCAAGGATAAAGTCCCAGCTCTTCAGCTTGACGTACACCGTCTTTTCCACCACCTCTTTCTACTCTCAGCCTCGCATGTTCTGTTCTGGTAACACAGGCTACTTCTCATCTGAAGACATACCATCTCATTTCTTTATCCCTCACCTCTGGGAGCCACAGTGACAGGATAGAAGTTCAGGGAGGAGACTTAAGACCTGTTTGGTGGCCCTAGCTGGTTTGGCTCAGTGGATAGAGTGTCAGCCTTCGGACTGAAGGGTCCCGGGCTCAATTCCGGTCAAGGGCACATGCCTGGTTCCCAGTAGGGGGCTTTGCAGGAGACAGCCAATCAATGATTCTCTCTCATCATTGATGTTTTTATCTCTCTCCTCTTCCTTCCTTTCTGAAATCAATAAAAATATATTTAAAAAAACAATAAAATAAACTCAAAACTCGTTTAGGACTTAAAAGTAAGACTTAAAACCATCAAAATCCTAGGGGGAAAAAAAAACATAGTCAACTCTCTGAAATCCATCTTAGCAGTATCTTAAAAAAAAAAAAATAAAAAGACCTGTTTGGTGGTGAGGATGGGAGGTACCTCCTCTGCATGAGCCCACAGTTGGCTATACTGCCTGCCTGGGCCTGGGCATGGCTGGACCGGCAAGGAACAGAAAACTTGTCCTTTGTCCTTATCATGGGTTGCTCTGGGGGCTGCTGCCTTTCTGCTTCACCTGCCAAGATTTCTGCCAATTTGACGCCTCTGCTTTCATCCCCTGAGATGGGGATTGGGTCTCTGGGTGTCAGAAGCTCCAGCTTCCTCCCCCTCACCCCTGTTCCCCAGATGAGGAGCCCCATTAGACCATGTGGTAGTGATCAAGAGGTCATTGTGGGGCCCTAGCTGGCTTGGCTCAGTGGATAGAGCATCAGCCTGCGGACTGAAGGGACCCTGGTTCAATTCTGGTCAAGGGCACATGCCTGGGTTGCAGGCTCCATCCCCAGTAGGGGGTGTGCAGGAGGCAGCCGATCAATGATTGTCTCTCATCATTGATGTTTCTATCTCTCTCTCCCTATCTCTCTGAAATCAATAAAAAAATATGTTAAAAAATAAAAAAGAGGTAATTGTGCAGACAGTGAGTGCTTATCTCTGTGAGCAACCTCTCTCTCTTTACATCTCAGCTGGCTTATCACATTTTCTATCCTGTATATTTGTATTCTGTCAGTTCCTTCTTATTTTCTGTCTCAAATGACTTGGTATCTTCACATACAATGCGTTCTCTTCCATATAAGCAATCTTCCTATCGTACTTTCTATTGAGCTAAAAATCGGGTTGTGATGTTGTGTGTGTCTGTGTGTGCATGGAAGGGAGGGTTTTCTGGAAAGTGTAAGTCTTCTCTGAACTCTTTTCTACTGGGGCGCTCTAGGGCTCAAGAAGGACCAAGGCCTTCTCATCTTCATGTTTCTTAACTGATACACCATGGGTACTGTGTGTTAAGGAAGAGACAGGAAGCAATGATGAACATAACACAATTTCTCCTCTCAGAGAACTTATGGACAGTAGAATCTGAAACAGATAATAACATAATTAGAATCCTGGTCGGGTACTGAGATTGCAGAGGATGTGGAGTTCATCCATTTGGGGATGAGGGTGGGGATCGGGGAAGCCAATCTGGAGAGGACAGCACTGAGCCAACTTCTGACTCAGGGGCAGAGTTTTTTTCAGATATTAAGGAAGGGCAGGCTGAGCTAATGCAATCATGTGTCAAACCTCCATGAGTTTTTCTCTTCACAAATGGATATTAACATTTTTGTTTAATCAATGATATGAATAGATATAAACTAAAGGACTGACAGCTCACCAAGAAGTCCTGGGTGCTGTAGGCATGGAAGAATGAACAAAATAGTGCGTTCCCATAATCTAGAATGTACCTTTGGGGCTTTGCTTCAGTTCCTTCATCTTTTTGAGGTCCTGGGTACCACTGAGACTCTCATGGAACTACTTATACTATCATTAGAAAAAAATTCACATCTGCACATACATATAATATTTAGATGTTGGCTTCTAGGGGTCCACAGATCGCCAGAAGCCCTTCAATCCCAGTTAAGAAGTCCACCTTTAGGGGTGGTTCCACTCTTTAGGATTGGCAGTTTTTCCCATAGAATCGTGGACTCTGTGCCTTTAGGGAGACCTTCAAAGTCCCATAGAACCAATTGCTTAAAAATGATATTTCAGTCCTTTCTGTGCTAGGTTGTCGCATGTTGTTTAAGCCCATTCTTGAAACCTTCCAGAGTTGAGAACTGTTTTTGAAGCAACTCTGACTGTCTTTCTATGTAGCCCTATTAAAATTCTTCCTCACACTAAACCAAAATTGGATTTTTGATTTTTTTCATTTCTGGCTCTGTCTAGAATGATCTGGAACAAGAGCAGGTCATCTATCTTTCGATCATCTCTCTAACCTCTCCCACTCTCCATGAGTTTAAGGACTTTTACTTGAGGATTTGGATCCCGAGGTTCCTCTAAAATAGTTCTCCATATAATGGGGACATCTCTAAGCATTTTCCACGCTTGAGAGAATCGATAGGTTTCTGCTGAATGAGTGAAGGAACTGTCCCAGGGTTAGATAAATTAGAAGAGTGCTGCATTGATTGGCTCTTCTAGGAGAGTCTGCATGCATATTAGTGCCTTAAAAGCTCTGATAAATCCTGCAGCACAGACTTTTTCATGGCTCCATTATCATTGTGAGAAGTAGGTGTTTGCTGGCGCTGACTCAATGAACCGCTGCTCTGTGAGAGTGTTTAAAGGAGAATAGGGAATGAATCTTACAGGGAACGAGTCCTCCCCAGGTTAATTTTCTCTGTGTTTTTCCCCCCACACAGCCTCTTGATTTTGAAACGACAGCCATTCACAACATTGTGTTCCAAGCGGAAAATCCGGAGCCTCTGGTGCCTGGTGTTCAGTACAATGCCAGCTCGTTCGCCACGTTCACCCTTTTTGTGACAGATGTGAACGAAGCCCCTCAATTTCCCCTGCACATATTCCAAGCAAAAGTCAGTGAAGACGTGGCCATAGGCACCAAAGTGGGCAACATGATTGCCAAGGATCCGGAAGGTCTGGACATAAGGTAGAGAGCAGGCTGGGCAAGCCTAGCTGTGCTGAGACCAAGGCCAGTGGGAGGGAAGAAGGGCTGGGGGTATGGGTGCGGCTGGGGGTGGGGGGCACAGAGGACCTGGCCTGACTCCAAGGCTCTCTCCTAAGGGAGCAGCCAGCGATTTGAAGCCATCTGCAGTGCATATGGTGAACTTGACCTTGGTTCCTGCAGGGGTCAGTACCCTGCGTGGGGAGTGGGGGAAATCCAGGCTCAGACAAGTGGGAAGCATGTGAGGTTGCATCCGGCCCACTCACTGCAGGTCCCACTGAGAGCTGGTAAGTTCAGGAGATGGGGTCCAGAGACGGGGCTACCCAAAGCCAGATCCTGTGTCTGAACCAGTCCCCACGGCCAGGGTTTGGGGAAGAGTTCCAGCCCAGCCCCTAAGGTTGACTGGCGGTCTAGACAGAGAGAATGAAGCAAAAGCCCAACTGGACAGACTCAGCCACCTGACACAACTAAGGGAACATTCTGGATGCAGAGTGTACAGGTTCCTTACCTCTCCAGAGAGTAGGTCTGGGGTAACACGACCCATTCCAGAGCACACCTCTGGCAAGGCTAGCGTTCAGGCCGAGGTGGTTAAACAAATGTATAAATCTTAGCAATTCGCAAGCTTTTTTCCCCCCCCAGTACAATAGGATTCACAAAGACTTGCCTTAAAAATGTACAATGATCATTAATTTGCCCAAGAAATATATGTATGTGTATATATCTCTATCTGTGTCAATATATATAACCTCTTTAAGTTCACATAGTTAATGAGCACATAAACAGGACTAGAACCCAGATCTTTTGCTTCTATTGTATGACAGTCTCACCGTATAAGGCATAACCAATGCATATGGTTATGATGACAATTCTTTAAGTTTC